GTTAGATAATACCTAAAGTACCACCATTCTGCCCAACCCTGCCACTTTATTACATCATCTTGGTTTTTTTCTTTCCACATCTTTATCATAGCTAACAATCATTTTATCTACTTGGTTGTTATTGTCTGTATCTCCCAACAGAGATAAGCCCCCTGAGGAGAGGGGCCTTATCTGTCTTGGTCAGTGTATCTCTAGCACCTGGGAAAACTGGTTTGATAGGTGTTAACAGAAGTGGAAACAGCTTGAACAAGAATACCTGTATCCCACCACCTAGAGATCCTTTATTTTTGAGAGTCAGCTTAGGTGGCAGAAACCACCATACACGTGCCAGTACTTTACATAAAGGAACTGCAAGTGAGCTAGCCAAGGTAATTTCATACCTGCATTCATATTAATATTGGATGGATTTCTAGTCCCAGAATAACTCTCAAAATTTTTCTCCTTGCACCAGGACATTTCCTATGAGTCATACCAGTAGAATCCATGAAGGCCTGACTGAGCTCATGATGTCTGTGTTAGAACTCAACTCTGGGGCCACACACTAGTCAAAGTATTAAGTCTTAAGTATCTGGAAAGAAAGAAAAGTTTTCCATTCATATGAAATCCATTTGTGGAGGCAATTAGGTAGAATAAAATAAACAAAAGATCCAGTTTGGAAAGAAAGTATAACTGTATTTGCAATGACATGAGCTAATATATAGAAAATCTTAAGGAATTCATAAAAACATGGTTAGAACTAATGTTCAGCAAGGTTGCAAGATACAAAATCAATAGAAAAATCAATTGTATTACTACACACTAGCAATGAACAAGTCAAAAATGAAATTAAGAAAACAATTCCATTCACAATACCATCTAAAAGAATAAAATACTTAAGAATAAATTTAACGAAAGAAGTGCAAAACTTGTACACTGAAAACATCGCTGAAATAAATTAAAGACACAAATAAATAGAAAGATAACCTATGAATTGGAAAGCTTACTATTGTTACGATGGCAAGGGTTCCAGCATAGCAAGATAAGTCAAGATAAGAAAGAATAAAGTTAGAGGACTTCCTGATTTCAAAACCTACTATGAAACTCTAGTAATCAAGACAGTGTGGTACTGCATGAGGATAGACCTACAGACCAATAGAAAATAATTGAGAGGTCAGAAATAAACTCTGACATGTACAGTCAACTAATTTTCAAAAAGGGCAACAAGTCCAGCTGGTGTGGCTCATTGGTTGAGCGTCGACCCACGCACCAAGAGGTCACCAGTTCGATTCCCGGTCAGGACACATGCCCAGATTGTGGGCCAAATCCCCAGTGGAGGGCATGCAGGAGGCGGCCAATCAATGTTCTCTCTCATTGATGTTTCTATCTCTCTCTCCCTCTCCCTTCCTCTCTATCTAAAATCAATAATAATAATAATAAAAAACCCAAAAAGGGCAACAAGCCCACTCAGTAGAAAAAGCAGTTTTTCAGCCGATGGTGTGGGCACAATTGGATATCCACATGCAAAAAACTGTGGTTGAACTTTCCAACATATATGAAAATTAACTCAAAATAGATCATAGGATTAAATTTAAGAGCTAAAACTATAAACCTCTTAGAAAAAACATAAGCGTAAATTTTCATGACCATGGATTAGGCAAGGATTTCTTGGATATAATAAAAAAAAGCACAAATAACAAAAGAAAAAAATAGATAAAAACTTTTGCACTTCAAAGGATACCATCGAGAAATGAAAAGACAACTTACAGAATGGAAGAAAATATTTGTGTATCATGTAGCTGAAAAGGAACTTGTATCCAAACTCTTACAATTGAACAATAAAAGGACAAATAATCCAACTTAAAAATAGGCAAAGGGTTTGAATAGGCATTTCTCTGAAGGAGATATATAAACAGCTAATAGGCACATGAAAAGATGCTCAACATCTTTAGCCATCAGGGAAATGCAAACTACCGCCACAATGAGATACCATACCATAGGATGACTTAAATAAATAAGACAGACAATAAGAAGTATTGCCCAGGATATGGAGAAATTGGGACCCTTCCCCTCCCCCCATTGCTGGTGGGAATACAAAATGGCACAGCCATTTCTGAAAACTGTTTGGCAGTTTCTCAAAAGTTAAATGTAAAGTTCCATATGAACCAGCGATTCTCCTCCTAGTATATACTAAGAGTACTAAAACATGTCCACACAAAAACTTGCACATGAATGTTCTTAGCAGCATCATTCATAATAGATAGGTATTAACAGCAGAGGAAATGCGGAAACAACCAATGTCTAACAACTGATAAATGAGTAAGTAAATATGGCATATCCATATAATTAATTATTATTCAGGCTTAAAAAGGAATAAACTGCTAAGACATGGATGGACCTTCAAAATATTATGCTAAGTGGAAGAAGTCGGATGTAAAGGCCACAAATTGCATGGTTCCATTTAGATGAAATGTTAAGAATAGGCAAATCCATAGATACAAAAAGTAGATTGGTGGTGTCCAGGAGTTTAGGGGGGGCAAGGGGAATGGGGAGTGACTGTTAATGGGTATGAAGTTTCTTTTGTGGTGAGAAAAATGATTAAAATTAGATAGTTGTGATGGTTGCAAAACTTTGTGAATACACTAAAAAGGGCTGAATTCTCTCTTGTGTGAATTAAATTTAGTAAAGTAATAATTAAAAAGTCACCCCGTGTGTGTCAGGGATCTGGAGAAAAATTCCTTGTGAGGTTGATATACACACAACACTCTTTCCACAGATTCCTGTTTCCACAGATGCTTACCTGCAAACATCAAGTGGAGAGAACGTCGATTATTAGAACCCCGTTACTATGACCACGAATTTCCTTTTAAAATGGTGTCTCTGGCAGAAAACTCCATTTTCATTGTAAATTCACTTTGAAACGGGGAAGACTGTCTAGGCTTTCGATAACTGTATATTCTATTAAACTGAGATGATGACATTCACATGTTAAGCCATAGATTGTAGAGATCATGTGGGTTGTTCAAGATCAAATTTTATTAGTCTGAATTTGACACTCAAAGCTTTCTGTACATATGGGAAGCAACACCTTTGTGCCTTTATCCCCTCATCAAAGATAAAGCTCCTCTCCCTGTCATCCCTCTGAAGCCACTGCACCAGCGTCCTTGGCTGTGAAAGGGACTAGTGCTATCTCAGAGGGCTCCTGTGCAGAATAGACATGGGCCAGGCTTGTGTTGTGATGTCTGCAGTGAGCTGCTGTAAGGAGGGTCTCCTGAAATAATGCAATCGGTCTCTGGAAACTGTCTTATCCTAAAAGCATCTTAAATGAAGAGAATGGGCAAGAGAGAGTCTCCAACTCTCCACACTTTAGCCCCCTCACAGGATTTTCATTATCCCCTGGCATTATCAGAGACTACTATTTTTCAGGCAGTGGACTTTGCTGAGTGGCCAGGTAATTCAAGTCCATTTGTGCCTGAAGTTACCAAGCTGAGTTTGATGCTCTGGTTTTATTTCTACAGGAAGATAAAAAATGAAAATAAGCAATCTTTTGGATATATAGGATGACACATTCTACCTAATGGAAGGTGGTGGCAAAGAAATTAGGGAGAAAATGGAGTGGAATGCTTCTCCAAGACTTCTTTTGGTTTGGTTTTTGGCAGCCCAGCATTTTAGAATAAATCCGTAAGGTTAATTTATTGCCTGTATTCCAATTATTAGCACACCCAAAGAAAAAATGACAGTTAGATAGAACAAGAATATTTGTTTTGAAAATATTTTCAAAAATGAAAAACATGCAAAAATATTGACTATTTTTATCCTAAATCACCATAAAGCAAATCCATTTTCATTAGGTTAAGTGATTTACTATTTTCTTACATGCACACATACACATATGCACACAAGCATGAAAAATAAAAAGAGGAAAATACTCTTGTTTTATTTTTGGATGTTTCTTAGAGAGAGACCATTGCTTTTATGACTTAGCACGTGTTTATGCAGAACAGTATGATGGACACAGCCAGTAGTTCTAGACTCAGAAAATTCAGGTTCCCAAACCAACTGCTGTCCTTGAACAAACTGTGTCACTGTTCTGAACTGCAGATTCCTCAGCTGAAAAAAGGGGATGACAACAGTCTCTACCTCTCAGGGTCATTGTGAGGATTAAATGACATACTTCAGGGGAAAAGGCTTGGCAAATGACTCACACACAGTAAATGATTAAGAAATATCAGCTATTTCTATTTTGTTGCTGATGATATATATATATGTCTATTACCTGTGCTAGGTAACAATCAATCCACTCTCAATTGCTTAGAATATAACTGAACCAAAGTTTTACATTCTAACACATATAGAATACTTGGGACATGACAAAGACAATCTCTAATGTTTAGAAAATGGAATGTAAGGGTCATTTGTCCTGTATAGCCTCTGGTTTCTAAGTGCAGCTGTGGGGGAGCTGAAGGAAGAAAAGGACTAACACAGGGAGAAAAAAATCAATCTGATGGACATGAATATAGCCACCAAACCAGCCTAGGGATTTATTCAATGACACTGCTTTACTGTTAACCTTCACTCGTATCATTTATTATTTGGGGAGCTGCTGCAAAGATACCAGCAAGTGAATAGAATAATGATGTTTTCATGGCTCCTAATGTAGATTGTTATTGAAAATCTGTCAATTTTACTGGCAAGCCTTTGGCTCAAAAATAAGATCTTCATTTATAATTTGCAAGCAGTGATGACTGAAATAATGAGAAGTAACTGGGAAATAAAAAAATAACTATTATGATAATTATCTTTCTCATTAAAAATATGAGGCATTCTATTATCGTTGGGAAGCGCAATACTCTTTAACAGCTGCTGTTACTGAGCTAAAACACATCTGAATAGGAAAGCAGACACATTGCTGATCACCAAAATGATGAAAAATAGATACTGCTAAAAATGTATGCAAAGTGGAACCGAACAGAACACAGCAGGGTGCACTGCCTGAATATGTAAACCAGAGTGGAACCACTTACTGATACTTCAGGAATCGGTCTCAACTTTTCCTCCGAGATTTCCTTTAGGGAGGTTTTGTTTACCGAAGCTGGCACTTGACGGGCTGCTGGTGGGTCCTTTGCTTTGATAATGGGACCTGGAGCTGTCTGAGAGGATGCATTCCTTCTTCCAGGGGGAGAAAGGCATGGTGTAGGCACCGAACTCATTTGAAAGTTGTTTCTATCTATCTGCTTCGCCCAGGAATCCTGGCTTTCTGATGCTTCTGCTTCTGTGTAGGCACTTTTTAGATATTCTTTACTTGTCCGCCTTGCAGCCTTCCCCAGCATGCTCTCTAATGTTAACTGAGTTAACCCTGAAGGACTAGTTGTTGGACCAGGAGAACCCTGGCCACTGTGGTTACCCTACACAGGGGAACAAAGTGAAAATCATTGTGAGCTGAAATGTGTGGTGAATAAGTTACTGAATACAATTTCTTAATAAATTCATATATTCTATGAATAAACCAAAATCTATACTTATATTTTATTCTGCAATAAAAAATGAGTTCCCAGACAAGAAAAAATTAAAGGAGTTCATCACCACCAAACCGGTATTACATGAATTGTCAAAGGTACTTCTTTAAAAAGAAAAAAAATATATGAATACTAGAAGAATGTCAATAACTATATATCTATCAACAATTACTTTAAATGTAAATGGATTAAATGCTCCAATCAAAAGACATAGGTGGATAAATGAATAACAAAACAAGACCCTTACATATGCTGCCTACAAGAGACTCACTTCAGATCAAAAGACACACAAAGATTGGAAGTAGAGAGATGGAAAAACATATTTCATAAAAAAATTGAACTGGAAAGAAAAAGAAAAGCTGGGGTAGCAATACTTATATCAGACAAAACAGAATTTAAAACAAAGGCTATAAAAAGAGACAAAGAAGGACCCAGCAATTTCACTTCTGGGTATTTATTTGAATAAACCTAAAACACTAATTCAAAAAGACACATGCATTAATATGTTCATTGCAGCATTATTTACAATAGCCAAGAGCAGCTCCCCAAATAACTAAGTGTCCATCAATAGATGAATGGATAGCCCGGCCAGTATGGCTCAGTGGTTGAGCATCAACCCATGCACCAAGAGGTCACTGGTTTGATTCCTGGTAAGGGCACATGCCCAGGTTGTGGGCCTACTTCCCAGTGGGGGGGGCATGCAGGAGGTGGCCAATCGGTTCTCTCTCATTGATGTTTCTATCTCTCTCTCTCTTACTCTCTCTGTAAAATCAATAAAAAAAAAATAAAAACTGTTTTAAAAAAATAGATGAATGGATAAAGAAAAAGTGGTACATAGATACCATGGAATACTACTCGGCCACAAAGAAGAATGAAATCTTGCCATCTGCAACAACATGAATGGACGTAGAGGTTATTTTGCTAATGGAATTAAGTCAGACAGAGAAAGACAAATACCATATAATTTCACTTATATGTGGAATCTAAAAAACAACACAAACAAATAAACAAAACAGAAACAAACTCATAGATACAGAGGACATTTTGATGGGTGCCAGATGGGAGAGGGGTTGGAGGGATGGGTGAAAAAGGGAAATGATTAAGAAGCACAAATTGGTAGTTACAAAACAGTCATGGGAATATAAAGTGCAGCAAAGGGAATATAGTCAATAATACTGTAATAACTATGTAAAGTGTTAGATGGGTACAGATTTATTGGGGTTATCACTTTGTATGTAAAATTATAGAAATGTGTAATCACTGGGTCACACGCCTGAAATGAATATAACATTGTATGTCAAATGTAATTGAAAAATAAAATATATATATTAAAACATAAAAAAGAAGTTAAGAAATAAAAATAAGGTCTTTCTGAAAAATAAAAAAAAGAGTAATTATAAATGGCAATGTAAAGAGATATAAGTCATTTGCTACGATGCCCTGCTACGTCTGCCTGTGATTTGCGTAAGGTACAGTTTTTTTTTTTAAACCACTGAGTAACAAGAGAACATTAAAAAATAGTCACTCAAATATATGCATTCCAAAGAATGTCTAAAAAAATTAAGGATTCTTAGGAAGTTACCTAAAACCTCTAAGAATTGTGTATTTTGGTTTCCTGATAAGATAACTCTATGGGAAGAGAAAGAACTGGAACTTAAGGTATTTAGCATATTTAAGCAGGAAAATGCTTATAAAAACCAATGGGCCTACCAAAGTATTTATGCCTTATATTGTTATAGGGCAGTTATATTGTTCAAGAGCAGTAGATAATAGAACTTTGGTAAAATAGCTTTATTACATGAAAATTTCAATTATAAAAAGTATTTTCCCCACAAGATATAAATCTCATTAAATATAATTATTGGGAAAGCTGAAAGTAAAAGCTAGAATTTTACAAGTATATAGTTCTGGGATTTTCCCTAGGAAAGCAAAAATTTTCATTTTTAAAATTTGAGAAAGGAGGGATTAAAAACATAAAATTAATGGCCACAAAAGTAAATAATGGAAATAAAAAGTATAGTACTATTTTAATTGGTAGATTTTCTGCTATAAAGTAAATTTAAAGAAAAATAAAACTAATGTGATCACTGCTAATAATTGCCATGGTAGATTTTTCTAATTTGTCTTATCTATTTCAATACATAATAAATATTGATGTTATAATTATAAACTTAGAACAAAAAATATCAGTTAAAACAGATAAGACTTATCAAACCTTTCGATCGGAAGTGATCTACCTGTCTGTGTGTCTGTTTATCATTGCTCTGCCTCTCTTTCTTTCTTCCTCATCATGGGCTCAAGTATCGCTTCAGGCCTTGTAGAGGCTGGGAATATAATGGTAGACCAGAACTCAATCTGGCATCCAAGGACTTTTTCCTGAAGGCAGCCAGGAGTTACAGAGTGATTTGAGACAGAGGAATGCCATAAGGGCACAAAATAGAAGGCATGAGTATGAGTTTGTGTGAATATTGTTTGTGGGATGTCTAGAGCTTTCTATGGAGAGAGTAAAAAGGGAAACCAATTAGGAGATGATTAAATCGTTATAACTAGAAAAAATGAGGTGGTTGATTAAGGCAATGGTGATGATGACAGAGAGGCTGGCTGACTTGAGGGTCCTGTAGAAGGCTGAGTATGTTGTACTCTGTGACTCTGGAAAGCTCTTACATGGAGTCTGAGATCCTTAATTGTGTCATGCTATCATTTTCCCTTCTTATATGGAAGTAGGTGGGATTAGCACACAAGAGGGCTCTCAAGAACGGTACACTTAGCTTTTAGAACCTCCCCTAGGAAAAAGCTTGCCTATCTATAGTAAAGAATGAAAATTGTGGGGTGTCTAAGGATCTTTTATGAATATTTTTCTTGGTATTCATTCTGGGCCTACATTTTCTTTGTCTACGCTGGCTTGATCTTCTGAAAGATATATTTCTTTATAAATGATAGAGAAATTAATTTTCCAGAGTCCCATATAGGGTAAAGAGAAGACGGTGAGTGGGTGTCATTCGATGGGCCCTTACACATAAGAAGGGGGAGACTATTTCCACACTTACAACAGTACTGCAGGCACTGGGCAGCCCTCTCCTCGCCACTGTGAACTGTCCTCTACTACCATTCTGCGGACCCTAAGGATATGCACATGGTTGAAGAACCCTGCCTTCAGGCTGAAAATGGAGAGTGCAAGAGAACTAAACAATGCCCATTGTCCCAAATTACTAGGGAATGGAGTGGTGACTCTTACAATTTTTGTTTTATAGAGATAAAAAAAAAAGAATAAAAGTTGAGTCTTATTTGGAGCGGTAAACAGAGAATCATCACTATCCCCCAAGTCTTAGTTCTGAGAAGGTATGGGTGAAACTCAGATGTGCTTTTTGTTCCTTTAAAACTCAGTCTGGCCACTGGGCAGTGCTTTGTCTTCTCCAACGTTTTTAAAATTCGGTTTTAATTTCCTATAACTGCTATACACAATTGGCAGTGGGATTTCTGTGACAAAAAACCTTCTATATATTCATTCCCATCATATTTTCATAATAAAAATTAAAACATATACTGTGGATTTCAAACACACTGGACCTAAAAATAGGCTGGACAAGTTGAAAAGGTATAATTATGACTTTTTGGGCCCAAATCTCTGGATCACCCTGGGATTCCATTTTTATATGACACAGCTAGAAATTAAGAGTTTTTGCAATAAACATTAATTCAATAAACATTTATTAAACTCCTGCTATGTGTAAGGCGTTTTCTAAGTACTATGTAAGACACAGGTAGGAAGAACATGGACACTAACTTCAAGAGAAATGGTCTAATGGCAGGTATTGATTTCACAAGATAGAAGGTAGTAAATTTAATTTTAGAAGTTTCAGATGTACTATGGATGAGAATTTAGAGGAATGCATGGAAAACCAGATGTTTGCTACATCATTTAAAAAACACTTTGAAAATCAATCCATTTGATAGGAAGCCAATTTCTTCCACCCATGGTAGGTCAGAGTACAGCCGTTTCTTCCTTCTAGTAGTTTACTCAGTTGTAAAAGACTTCTTTTTGCTTGGCACAAGTGATGATTATATACACAAAAATATTCATGTGCATGTATATGGACATTCATCTCACATTTTTCCTAATGTGATGGGCCCAGAAGTGGAGATGTGCCAGGAAGTGGACCGATTTAGCTGTGTTCCCTGGTGAGCGTTATCTTGGTTGTATTGAATTTCCACAGTAATATGTTTCTGTGCTATTTTAAATACATGGAAAAGACAAATAACTGGGGAATCTGGACAGGGTACAAAAGGCTAGCTTACTTTGGCTGCCCAGAACCACTAAATCTGGTTTATCCCCGATTCTGAAAGGAGAATTAGGATAAATGAGAAAGGCAAGATGATATATGAGACTAATATTTTGATTTAAGTTGGGTCAGCTTCTCCTTTAGAGAGGGAATAAATGGAGAATAAAAAATAGTGTATTTGCTAGGAGTGGTGCACTGGCAAACCCATTCCTTTCTTCAGCAATGCTTTTGCCTTACTAAAATAGGTCATATAGGTATAGATGATGTGTATTGATCTCACATACGTAACTCATTTAGGCTCCACGTGTTTTTGGGTAATTTTTTTCTATATAACATACATTTGTTATATGCATAAGAAGTTAGCTTACTATGATCTGACTGAAAAACAACCACTTTTTCTCCTTTGGTTTATGATTTAGCTACTGACAACATGGACAGCAATTTCATATAATTTGTCAGAGTAGTAAAGAAATTGTCAAGTCATTTTCACATTCCAATCATCTGTTCTTCTGTTTCTCAGAAGAACAAATCCAAAATGCTTTTGATTTAACTTGATATATATATATTTTAAAGTCCCAAATGTCTTGAACTGTTTGTCTTCTGGGTGCA